GGCGGGTCTGATTGTGGTACTTATTCTCAGTACCCAGGTATGAGTATTTAGAGACCACCGCAGAGGAGCCCCCCTGGCGCCGAGGGGTGGGGGGGAGTAGGGGTGGCTACACAGAAGGTGTTCAGTCTCCCAGAACAGCTGCCTCTCTACTCCAGCCTGATAAGACGAACCTGGGAGACCACGGTGGACCCCTACCCCACCACTATCCCAAATTCCTAGGAAGTATATACTACTAGGACAAACCAAGTAGTTGTGTGTTCCGTCGGTGTGTCAGAGCAACCCCATAGAGCAAGGTAGAACTGGCCCTGTGAATTTCGGAGACAGTAACTCTTTAAGGAAGGAGCATGACTTGTTTTCCCTCCCTAGGAGCAGCTCCTGGTTGAGCAGCTCCAGGTTTTGAAGAGCTGACCTTGAGGTTAGCAGCCCAATGAGTTGCAGTCAGATCTATAAACAAGGCTGGGCTTTCTTATCCCCTGGCTAGTCTCTGTCTCGACCCAGGCTGTTCCAAGACCTGCAAGTTCCCAAGCATCTCAGACTCTGTCTGCTCAGCTTCTAAGGATGGCAAAACCCTCTGCCTCCAACTGGGGAGATGCCTCTTCTTCTCCCCCTCCCTGCTTTCTAAGAGCTGAGTCTACTCTTTCTACTGTTTCCTCTCCACTGCACACTTAGTCCCTATACAGAAGCATGTCTGGTCTTACCTCAACTGTGTTGACGCCATGCTAGCCTCCAGTCTTTGGACAATGACAACCACCAAGATGCTCCTTAGATGTGGCGGTGGCAAGACTTTGGCTGGCTTACCTCGCACACGTCATCAGGAAAGACCAGTTGCTCAGCTAGGAAAGGACGTCGTGCTCAGCCATCTAGAGGGCCGACCAACACAAGGGAGCCCTGTGTGGATTGGGTTAACGCAATGACCCCTAAAATAGACTCCAGGACTGGGCCACTGCCCACTTCTCTTACACACAGCCATCTCCAGGAGTCACAGCCAAGTCCATGGTAAACAACAACAAACCCTACCCCCCAGGGCCTGTCTTGTTGGCCTAGCCATTCTCCACTCACTTCCAGGTGCCAGGTAAGGGGAGGTTACATCTTCCTTCAACTGCGGCGTGATCCTTCAGCTCCTGGTTGAAAGCCCTCAGCAGTTCCGTGTGATTCCTATCCTTGATTGGACATACTACGTGTGTTAGTCCAGGTTGACTAGAGAAACAAATTCACAGACCCTCCTATGTACATAAGAAAGAACTTTATATAAAAGAGTAATTGTATATTAAGAAAACATCCAAGCCCAGTCCAGTCCAGATCAAGTCCATAAGCCCAATATTAGCTTATATGTCCAATACCAATCTATAAATTCCTCTTCAGACTCACGCAGCATGTGCAACAATGCCAAATGCAGGAGGATCACATGCCAGTGAGTGAAAAGTCTTGTGGATGCAGTGGTGGTGGAAGCATCTCAGCACCGGTGTGGGTCTCCACGTGGCTCCTCCAGCTCCTGGACTGTAGCATAGTTCCATGTGGCTTGTCAGCAGGAAGACAAAGCAGAGTGTATTGGGCCTCCAGTGAGCTATTTATCTCCTTAGCGCCTCCAAATGAAGTCAACCAGCTGAGACCTGATTGACAGGCTAAACTCCACCCCTTCCCTCTTCATAGTCTCAAGTTGACAGCACATTATGTAACTACCACACTATGTCTTTTTTTTTTAATTAATGTTTTATTGTGAATGAGGTAGGGGGAGGTTACATTTCAGACCATCAACTCTGAATTCAACAGTTTACTCATCAACCCTCTCCCTCCCTCCTTCCCATATCCTATCCAGCCCAGCCCCTCCCCTGATTTCTCTTCTGCCCCTTAGCCATCTGTATTTTCCCTTTCACCCAAGGCAATACCTGTCAACCTCCCACTCTGTCTCTGTCTCCCTCCCTTGGGAAGTTCCCTTTGAGATGCAAGTCTCTGTCTTGGATTTTCATGCTTACAGTAGTCGTGGTTGTTAGATGCCATGGGGTCAATCCAACTCATAGCGAGCCTGTGTACAACAGAGCAAAACTCTGCCCGGTCCTGTGCCCTCCTCACAATTGTTCCTGTGTTGGAGCTCATTGTTGCAGGCACTGTGTCAATCCACCTTGTCAAAGGTCTTCCACTTTTTCGATGCCCCTTCTACTTGATCAAGCATGAAATCTTTCTCCAAGATCTCTCCTGAAAACACGTCCAAAATTCGTAGGATGGAGTTTGACCATCTTTGCTTCTAAGGAACATTCTAGCTGTCCTTCTTCCCAGACAGATTTGTAGGTTCTTTGGCCAGTCCAAGGTACTTCCAATTTTCTTCCCCAGCACCATCATGTAAATGCGTCCATGTTTCTTCCATCTTCTTTATTCAATGTCCAACTCTCACGTGCCTGTGGTCCCACACCATCGTTGTTCTTTCACGCAGTCCTTTTGTGATTAATTAACTTCACTCAGCATGAATTTCTGTGTGTCCCTCCATGTCGTGAGGAGCATTGTGCTTTCATCATTGCTTTTTAAGTAATGCATAGTATGCCTGTGTGGCGTACTACGCATTCCTTAATACATTGTATTATACATTACTGACTAGACCAATGATCTTTTATCCATTCTTCCACTGATGGGCATTTGACCTGTTTCCAACTTCGTGATTTTGTGCTGCGATGAACACTGGGGTGCCGGCTTCTGTTCGTGCGATGACCCTTGCTTTCCAGGGTGTCCACCCTGAGAGAGATTGCTGGCTCATGTGGAATTTCTATTCCCGGTTATCCCTTTCCAGAGTGGGTTTACATGTGGACAGCCCCGCCAGCAGTGGATGAGGGTTCCAGTCTGTCCCCGCCCTCCCAGCATTTGCTGTGTCCCCATTTGTTTTCTCATTGGGCTGTTATTATTGATGTTACTATTATTATTATTTGCTTCTCCCAGATGGCTACGGATCGTGAGCATTTTTCATGTTAGTCAGTCATTTTTGGAGACCTATCTGGTCCTGTCCTTTGCCCACCTTTTAATTTGAGCGATTTGTTTGCTTGTTTGTCTTATTAAGGTCTTGCTGTTTTCGATAGATTTTAGAGATTCGTCCCTCGTCTGTTGCGTCCTTGCTGAAGATTTTTTCCCCGGCCTCTGGGTTATTTTTTTCATTTTTTGGATGGCGTCTTTTGCTGCACGTATGTGTGTTCTTATTAGTAGCCTCCGTCGTCCACGTGCTGTCTACTGTTTGTGCGTCTTTCCTTGTATCTGAGAGGATGTTGATGTCCTGCACAAGGTCCTTCAGCCAAGGTCATTCCTTCATCTCTTCCTGTCCACTGCTTCAACCTTTCTGCCCTCCACACACAAGCTGGCTTTGCATCACCACCACCACCACCCCCCCCACAAAAGAACACTCATTGCATTTCCCCAAAAGGGCCATGTGCTCATTCCTCAGCCTGGAGTAGCCTCCCCCTACTCGAGAACATCTCATGATGTAAGAAAATGGCCTGGCTTCAGAGACAGGGAACTGAAATTATAGCTTTTTATCCTTTTATCCAACACACATTTGTTGAACATCTACTGTGTCCCTGGTGCTATTTTAGTGGACACACTGTGCATTAAATAAAATCTATTATCTTTTCCCACAAAGAACTCACGGTTTAGTATTGGCGGTCGACCCAAGAATGATCCAAAGGAAGGCATCATGACCACTGTGACGATTGGGACAATGGATAGGAATGGACAAGATGAGGTGGTCAGGGGAGACTTGCTGGGATGTTTCTTTGGGATTGAAATCAGAGTTAATAGACCAAGAAGGAAGCAGACAACGGGAGAGACCTGGCCAGTGGGAGAGGCAGCATTAACGACAAGGGTACGTTGAATCCCCCCTCACATCTGTGGGATCTTGATGTCTCTGGACTTTATTTCTTCATCCGTTAAATGGAGGAATAATAGTCATTACCTCGTGCGTTGAGTTTGAGGGTCGTAAAAGGTGAGTGTGATGAGATCCGAGGAACTCGTTGATGAATGCTCTGTGCCTCCCTTCTCGCTCTGGCTGGGCACGAGCAATGCCTCACCCAGGGCTACTCGCAAGCAGGCCTCTCCCCTGGCATTCTTGGTGGGGGTTCAGAAACCTAGGAGGCTGGGGAAGGAAGGAATGGGCCCAGAAGAAAGAGATCACCTTTGTCGCGGGGCTTCACACCTGTCAGTCAGGGCCCACAAAGCAAAACCAGAAGAGACCT